TAACTACGAAAATATTTGATTTACAAATAAGGAATCCTACTTCGCGGAACTTCATTTATCACGGTAGGGTCTAGAACCGATTAACCGCGATAAACAAGGGTTCACTGTATATTCAATCTATTGATTAAGTACTTATCAGGTGTGGCGGTTATATACTCTATTGCCAACTTGAGGAAGGGGTGGAGTCTAGCGTGTCAACCAGGTCACAGTTTGATGACCTCATTTGGAGTCACAAAGGAGATAAATAGCTCACTGGAAGCCAGATACACTCTCTCTGCTTCGTCTCCCCATGAGACATTCCTGTTGACAAGCCACATGGCACTACGGTGATGGAACCAGAGCCTTGGAGCTGGAGGAGCCACGTGGAGACCCATGCTAGCGCTGAGATGCTTACAACGCCACTGAATCCACAAGATTTTCCACCTGCTAGCCTGTGATCTTCCTGCGTTTGGCATCATTGTATGTGTTGCGTGCATCCAAAGTGGAATTTATAGACTGGTGTCGGACATATGGGCTAATCTCGGACTTAGGGACTTGATCTGGACTGGGCTGAGATGTTTTCTCAATATACAATTAGCTCTTTTATAAAAAGTTCTTGTTTATACACGAGTGTCTATGAATTTGTTTCTCTAGTGCACCCGGTCTAATCAGGCATTCACTATTGCTGGAAACCTAATAGCCAAGAAAAACAGAAATTAAAAACTACAGACCCAGCTCTGATGCAAGGAGCCCTAGTAGTGCAGTGTGTTAAACATGGACACACAGGATACACCTGAGGCAGTTTGCTTTCACTCCAGAAACCCTAAGGAGTAGTTCTACTCCGTCCTATAGAGTTGCCAATGAGTAGGAATTGACAACGGCAGTGGGTTTAATCCTTAAATTTATAAGCCAAGGGAAGATTTCAATAACTAAATCTTGAACAAGTAAATGCAAAACTGTGATTGGGATAACTGCTATAAGAGCATGCAACAGGACACATAATCTAGAGTCGGGGATGAATTAACTTGAGAAAGTAACATCAGTGCTTCTATTTGAAAAACAGAAAGAGAAAAGAGGAAGGAGATGATGGGCTCATTCTAGGTAGAGAATACTCATGGCCACTGAGTCAATTCTGACTCACTGTGACCCTATACCACAGGGTAGAACAACTCCTGCAAGTTTCCGAGGCTGTAACTCTTTACAGGAGAAGAAAGCCTCGCTTTTCTCCTTCAGAGTGGCTGGTGGTTTCGAACTATTAACCTTGCAGCTAGCAGCCTAAATGGTAACCATCATGCCACCAAGCCTCCTCAGCTAGGGAATAGATGTTCTCTTAAGAGTACAGGGAAAGATAAGGTTAACATGGGATCCAAAGAAGTCCTCCCCGCAAACAGGATCTAACTACAAAGAGAAAAGCTCTCTTAGTGCAGTGATTAAGGTGCTCAGCTGCGTGTAGGTTGGCTGTTTGATCCATCAGCTGCTCTCAGGGTGAAAGATGCGGCAGTCTGACTGTCATAATCAAGACTGCAGACAATTCTACTCTGCTCTACAAAGTTAACCAGGAAGCAGAACCAACTCAATAGCAGTGTGTTTTTGTTGTTTGCATTAAATATCACAGAAAGGAGCCCTAGGAGCCTAAAAGTTAAGTGCTTGGCTGCAACCCAAAAGGTTGGCAGCTTAAAGCCCACGCAGGGGATCTGCAGGCCATCTATGTCTGTAGAGGTGACAGCACAACGGGGCGGCTCTATCGCATGGAACTACCAGGAGTCAAAATCAACTCGAGGGCACAATGACAAGAACAACCTCAAAGATGCAGGACATCTTGCGTAGTCAGTGGCAGAGCTGCAATAAGAAGACAGGTTTGTATCCATTCAAATTAACTAAAAAATCTTCTCTAACCTCCCCCAAATGAAGCAAACCTGACCCTATCCTTCACCAGAAGGAACCTCAAACACTATCAATTTGATTTTTCATTAGATTGTTATTACAGTCCTCACTTTTTCATTTCTAAACAAATAGGACTGCTTGAACTATATAGTGAGAATCACTAAGAATCAAATGACTAATAAATCCTATAATGTCTACATTTTGGTTCACAGATTTTCTTAAAATGCTTTTCTTTATATGTGCTTATCTCTGACTCT